GGTTGGAGTGCCGCCGCTACCGATTGCACCTGAACGAGTTGGGAAAAGGGGCAAGAAACCAGGTCCCTTACCAAAGCGACGCAAAGAGGTCCAAAATGCGTTGTGATTAATTCCATGCATGATCGAGAAAGTATAGGAGTTTTCTTGAAATTTACGATAAATTCACAACTTTTACTTTAATTAGCTGAATTTGATAGTATACCAAACTCATCTTGAAGCAACAAACTGCAAGTTCCAAACCGAAACACATGAATGCACCACACTGAAAACGGCTCATCGTATCTCAACTTACTGCATGGACCTACAGCAACGGCGCAGATACAATTCATCATCTGTACTACACGCGTAAATAAGATATTTGCAATAGCAAATTGTGCAAGAAGATACAATCCATTTATAGCATAATAAGACGTTGACGACGTGTTGCAAGTATGCATTGAGTAGCTCGGCGTAAGTAGTAGCACTGCACAACTAGTCTTGCACCGTCGCCAAGATGCCCCACCTGAACCCCCGTCAGCGCCATGCAAGAAACTTTAATCGACGGCTAGATGGCTCGTTTTGGCAGCTTCGACTTAACCACGAGTTGTCTGTGAGAACTAACGAGAACGAAGTGAGGTCGATGGGGGAGGTCTACTTGAAGAACGAGCACAAGGAGGATTTTTTGGGGCGAACCAAGCACGCAGAGGCCGAGGTGGTGAGCTGTATGAGGTCGAGCGTCTGTATGCAAAGCGGTGGGTAAATATGAGAACATACTACTTGGTGCAGTGGGTCGGCTACAGAGAGCTCACATGGGAGCCCTCGCGAAACATCCCGTGGCGCATTCGCCTTCCGTTCGAGCGAGAATCGGTCAACTTCGTGTGGGTGTATCAATCGACAAGAGGTCGATGATCGCGCCGCCGGAACGAAAACCCCACCAGACGCAGTCAGCGACTCCAGAACTTAACAATGAGTGCCCACCGAACTTAATCTTACGCCAGACAAGACAAAGCAGTAGAAATAAATAGAAGTCGAAAGCAGTGAACTTTCACTGGTTTAGCTTAATTCCTCTCAGATTGTTGCATTTTGCCAGTTTCTATTGGCCTATAGCCAAAACTGGAAC